ATGCATTCATAAAAAATGAGCACAAATATAATACCAAATACTGTATATTCAATATTACACCTGTATTAGAAAGTATAATGCAGTAATTCACATGACCACCAGTTTCAGATGTAACAAGGAATCTGCAAATATTCTAATGCATTTTAACTTTGGTTACAGTTATTTATGAAAATACTGTATATAATGCATTACAATGTACATTATCCATTATACATAAAGGGTTCAAGTAAAGTTTACCACAAACAGTAGAACAATTAGTCCACTCTTTCTCTGTCTTTGTGCTTCATCCCGTCTGTATGTGTCTCACATCTGTCTGATTATGTGGTTTGTAGTGTTTTAATGGTTTGTGACTGTTGTTTGGTAACATATGTAGTTTGGTTGCGTCTCAAACTGTGGCTGGTGTTTCAGTAGTGGAGGAGGAGCAGCAGTCGGCTTTGTCGCCCAAGAAAAAACAGCGTAACGGAGGGATGAGAACGTCGCCCACATGCTCGCCCAAAATAATAAGGTAAGAGCACAACCGTCTTTCTGCAAAGATCCCTTGAAGCAATGTGGCATTATTTCACTAGCATTGCTTTGTGAAAACCCTTCACATTCAGCATCTCTATCCTCTCTCATGCTCACTAAACGGGTCACACGACCCACGGCTGCAGCCAATCAGAGGCGGCGGTCAGTCTGTGTCGCCTCAGGCTGTCGTTCTCTCAGTGCCGTCCGCTTTTAACTCCCGCTACCTGCCTCTTATCCTGTCCGCCAGAATTACTGATCCGTTTATTGATTTTGACTGATGAAAGAGCTGCTAGTGAATTAATAAAAGCCATTAATACGCAATGATGGAATGAGAATAATATCTTCTGAATGCTTTATCAGGACAGCAGACTGGAATAATTCATATTGTATGGGCAGTAATTAATAACAAGTGGGATTTAGAAGGGGGAAAAAAGTATATATATATATATATATAGTGTATGTATGTGTATATATAAATAGCCTATATATATATATATACATACACAATATATATATATATATATATTTCTTATGTAATCAAAGTATATAATATATAATAATAAAAATATTTTATGTATGTATGTATATGTATATGTACTATATATATTTGTATATGCATATATATACAATATTATATGTATAGTAATATTTACATATACACATATATAATCACTTTAACTATATATATTTAATTATATATTATGTACCTTTATTATATAATCAAAGTATATACTATATGATAAAAAAAAAAAATATATATATATATATTAGTGCTGTCAAACGATTAATCGCATCCAAAATAAAAGTTT